GATGTAATAATGGCAATTCTATTTTTGCTTAATCTTTAAATGTTTTCGTATAACACATATGCAGCCTCCTTTAATTGTTACAATGACGTTCTAGGTTTTGGATTGAGCAGTTTCATTTATATTGCTTTTTAAAAAATGCTTCCAAACAGGTGCATTGCTTTTAAATTCTTTGAAAGTCATTTTGAAGTTGTTTTTCAAAATTTCTTTAAAGTATTATTATGCTTTAAAAAGCAACAGTTTCAAGTTGTGTAGACAACTTGGTATCCGATATCAACATTATAAATGCAACAGCTTCAAGTTGTGTAGACAACTTGGTATCCGATATCAACATTATAAGTTGTGTAAACTATGATGGTATCCGATATCAACATTATAAAAAAGTATATTTATGTTAAAAAACCGGAAAACAAATATAAAAACCAAATAGATCCAGATCCGGATCTCAAAAAACGATACGGGTACCCTGGTATTCGGTTCCGGATCTTGGATCTGACTATGCCCTACAGCACAGATGTTACGGATATTTATTGTTTTTCTATTTTATACAAGCCTGCTTCAGCAATAAAAGCATAATTTTAATTTTGCCGATCAATGTTCTTCTTGTGTATTGCTGTCATAAAATAATTTTTGTCTTGACCATGTCTTTTAGGCTGTTATGTTGTTAAAAAAAATTATGATTTGGTCAATCATAAGCGGCAAGAGTATAGAGCATCTGTACGAAGTAAAAAGTATAATGAGGTGAGGTTAGTACGAAGTCTTATAAAATAGTTTGTATTTGCGGCTAAAGGAATAATTTTTGAACTGCTAATCAACAAATTTATGCAAGGTATAACTCCCTCCCACACTGCACCCTCTGTTAGATTTTCCAAGTTTTTAGTCCAAATATAAGCCTTAGTGAGAATATGTGGTTGCAGATGAAGAGAAAAAGTGACTGAATATGTGATCACAAACAAAATAGAACTCTTAAAGAAGATCATTCATTGTCGTAGAATTACTTTAAGACATAAGACTGCAGTCTTTTATTGGTAACATATTGCGCAAAAGTTAAAGCTCTAATAACGCCTAAAGGTGGCTCAACAAAATTTTAGCATTTGATTGCATTGATATTTTATTTGTGGTAAAAAACGAGCATTAAAGTGAATTAGAAAATATATGCAAATTATTTATAAGAAACAATAAAGCTGTATAGTTATAGCAAATAGTTAAGATTTTAGATAGAATAATAGGGCATCTAATAATTTAGCCATGGACTGTATAATCTTTTACAAAGATGTTTTAGTGATTCGTAAAGAATATTGTATATTGCTATTGAATATTGTTTTTATTGTATATTGCTATTGAATATTGTTTTTATTGTACAGAATATTGTTTATTATTTTGTATCTTATCGTGTTTTAATAAACTTTATTTAACAATCCCATTATTATTCTGAACCTTATCAACATGTTTATTGGTTAGCCTTCTGCGGTCACAGAGCTTTTTAATGCTTTTTTCAAAAGTCTTAAACTTGGATCCAGTCAACTACTAACTGCAGAGTCAATACAATTTATAACTAAGAGGTTTGAAACAATTTTTGTTTTTGAATACTTAGATTAGTCGCTATTATAGTTTTTTTCTTGCTGCCTCAAACATCTATTCTTTTGCAGATACAGCAACAGCATCAGTGATTACTTTCAGATAACCGTTGTAACTTCTTTTACTTAAAGTACTTACATACTTATAAATCCTAAATAAATTGATCTCATGCTATAAATAGTACGAAAATTAAAAGCATATGTGCAATTACAAACTTTTGATTAATAGAACACTTTTTTATATCTAAAATTAGTGTAACAACATGTTAAATTTTCAATCTGGTTTTGGGTTCTATAAACACCGAGCAAGTTCTTTTAATACACAGTAGACAACGTAAAGGTTACATTCTTATTATACCATATACCAAATAGAGATTTCATTCATTATCATGAAAAGTTTCATTTTCATATTTTCATATTTCATATTTCATATTCAAATTCATTATCATAGAGGTATACCATATAGCGTCTTCATTCATAATCATGAAAAAAAAAAAATATATATATATATATATATATAATTGCAGTTAAGCTTGCTGTTTAAACAAAGACATTCCATTAAAGTCTTTTGATTTTTGATTTTTCAAGTTTTTCCATGTTTTGGGACCTTGTGATATAATTGAAAATTCGGAATAACGGGTTTTAGACGGTGTTTAGACATATTATTGATAAAGCGTTTTGATTGCCACCAAAACTGTTTTTCTTTGCAGTAGTTGTTTTTATAAAATACTTATACTCGTGTAAATAAGTTTAGTTCAATATTATTTACTAAATATCTTTATTTTAGTTAATTTCTAAATTCAAGAGAAAGAAAAGTTTTTAACTCATTATTAAATAGCGTGTTCCATTAGGTTCTCTGATTACAATCGAGAACATAGAAGCAGAATAAAATGTTTTGGTTGCAAATAAATAGTTTTTATTGTGGGTTGATGATTTTCTTCTTTTTTAAAAAATGAGTTAAATTCAGGAATTGATTGGTAAAGTTAAAATACGTTGTGATGAAGGCTATGTTAAAATACGTTGTTATAAAGGTTAAGTTGAAATATGTAGAATGTTTTGAATTTATTAAAAAGTAGTTAGATATGTGAGAAGTGATCCGTATTTTCAATATTTATTAGAGTGTTTTTTTTTAATAACAGCTTATTTTTTATAGGTACATTATCGCAGCATCAAGCAACGTTTGCGTTTTATATAGCAATAAATTAACGAAAAGTAACTGAATTTCAAACAGCTTTTGTTTTAAAACTGCTTGGTTTTTGCTCTATTTTGATATTGGAATTGTTATGAATAAGACTAAGAGGTTTTGAGGGAATATCTTCTCTACATTTTAAAGGATGTTTTTTTTCAAATTTTAATGGGTTGTCTTCCCCTTAAAATTATAAAAAACCTTGAAGAATATGTAATAAAAAGTAATAAAAAGTTGACAAACAAGTGCCAATATACCTACGTAAAATAATGATGCATATCTGTAAAAATCACAACCAACTTCATCTGAAAAGACAAGCATAGTTCTTATGTGAAAGCATTTTAAAGATCTTCTGAATAGTTTTAAATGTGTTTAAAACGGTGTCATTTTTTTGGATAGATAGTTGGATTTAAACGGGTGGATTTAGAATATAGACATATTTTCGAGATAAATATATTTCAGGCAAGATACAAACGTAAAACTTTTATATTTTCATAATGATGTCAATTGAGGATGTGTTGCAAAAGGTTAAGATATGGAATTATGTAAAATATTGTTGCAAAAATTTATAATTTTAAACATTCAAAAAAAGCAAGATCAAATCATGAACCTGACGTTTGAACTATAAAAATTTGGCATGATTGAAACTGATAATTTTCAAAACGTCTCTAAATTGACTCAAAAAGATCGAAATAAGTATTCAAAAAGTGTCTATTTATAAATATTATTCTTTTTCCTTGAAAATATTTTTTAAATGTTATTACCATAAATTTAAAACAAAATAAAATGTTATTGCCATAAGTTTAAAATAAAAATAAAATTAAGATTAAAAATAAACTGGTGTAGAATATTAGACACAAATCTAGTCTGCAACATTTTTTTTATAAGATTAAAGAGTTAACTCTTATGTATTTTTGGTCGCTGAATTCGAAAAAGTTATCAAAAAATTTCTATCACGTAAGGTTTTTATAAAAAATGCAAAATGCTATGAGATTGTCTGTTTTAGGGTGCAAAACGGGGTTTATTGCCAAAATATTTATTATTTTACTTATTAACTTATTATAAGATAATTTTATGTTTTGTAAGCTGAAACAAAATTTTAGTAATTCATGAAGATAATATTAGTAAGTGTTGAATCATATATACATATCGGGATTTTCATTAGTATGGAAATCCCAATATATACAAATGCCGAAATTCTCAAGGAATTTCCCTTACATTTATTTATTTCTGTTCCAACTTTCGTAACGTCCATTTAAAAAATGACTTCAAGAGGTTGTGTAAATTTTTCTGAGAGTTTTTGTTATATTTGTGGTGAATTTGTAGTAAAAAAACAACAAAGAAATATTACTAAGTTTGTTTAAAAAGTGCACTTTGCCTATTTTGGTGTGAAGATAGGCGATCAGGACATATCTTGAGCCCCGCATGGAGTTTGTTCAGGGTGTGTTAAAGGACTTAGAATGTGGTCAATTAGTAAAGTTAAATCTTTTCGTTTTGGTGTTCCCGTGATCTGGAGAGAGCCTTGAAACCACAGCAATGACTACTACTTTTGTTCGTGCAATGTGCAGGGGTATAGTACCAAAAGGAAAAAAAAAAAGTTATCCAAACAAAGAATCGGTACTCCGCCCAGTCCCTCACAGACCTGGCATCCCTACACCTCAAGCACCCTAAAGCCTAGACAATTTACCATCATTAGAAAGTGAGTCAGTAGAAAGCTCTAGTAACGAGTTTCAAGTGGGCGATTCCAGTAGTCCTCAACAAATTTCTCAAACTGAATTAAATGACCTGATCCGAGATTTAGGACTCTCAGAACAATCTGCTGAGTTACTAGGATCTAAACTGCAAGAGAAAAATTTATCGACTCCTGGAATTTATATTGCTTGGTATAGAAATAGAAAAAAATATTTTGAACCTTATTGTTCTCAATGTAGTGAGCTGGTCTTTTGTTCCGATATCAATGATTTAATGTCCATGTTCAAAGTTCAACATATACCTGAAAATTGAAGACTGTTTATTGATTCACAACTAGAATAAGGGCGCATCAATACCCGTTAATCACTCAGTGCATTTGAAGGAAACTTATTGTAACTTGGCATCGATCTTGGATAAATTAAAGTGCAAAGAATTCAAGTGGACAGTTTGTGGGGATCTTAAAGTAATTTCTATGATACTTGGACAGCAAGGTGGTTACACAAAATTTCCCTGTTTTCTTTTTGAATGGGATAGTCGTGCTAAAACTAAATACTGGAACCAGAAAGTGTGGCCGAAAAGAACATTGAAGGTTGGAAAGAAAGACGTGCACTTTGAATCTTTAATTAATTTTAAAAAATTTCTTCTACCACCACTCCATATCAAACTTGGCATGATAAAACAGTTTTTGAAGGCATTGCTAAAAGATGGTGTGACATTTAAATACTTTTCAAGCAAGTTTCCTGGTCTGTCTGAAGCAAAGTTGAAGGAGGGAGTTTTTGTTGGTTCTGACATTCGTAAGCTAATGAAAAATGACAACTTCGAAAACGTGATGAACTATGTTGAAAGGTCTGCTCGGAACTCTTTTAAAGACGTAGTTACAAAATTTTTAGGGAATCAGAAAGACTCGGACTTTAAAAATATCGTAGAAAATATGTTGTGAAATTTTAAAAATCTGGGATGCTCAATGAGTTTAAAACTCCATTTTTTGAACTCCCATTTGGATTACATCCCGGAAAATCTTGGTGCAGTTAGTGAAGAGCAAGATGAGAGGTTTCACTAAGATATAAAAGAAATGGAGAGAAGGTATCAAAGTCAATGGGATACAAATATGATGGGCAACTACTGCTGGATGTTATATAGGTAAAATGTAACGTCCCACAAAAGAAAAATCACTAAACAAAGCTTCGAAATTAAAAAAACTAGATTTTATGAAACTTTATAGTTGTATCTACTGTAAACAAATTATTTTATGATTTCAAATTAATTAAATTTGTATAATTTTACGATTTTTTTTTCTTATGATTATTTTCTAAAAAACTATTGTAAGGCGGGTTTTGCCCATATTTTATTTTTGACTTTGCGGAAAATCCTTACGTGATGGGTCGACGTGAATGGTATTATTGAAATCAGCATACCAAAATACATATAATTTACCCATTCCAAAAAAAAAAAAAAAAAAAAAAATTTGCAGACCTGTGTAATAAAAAACTTTTTTTCAGATTTATATAACAATTTCCGTTTTTGATTTAAACATAAACTTTCATGCAACAGATTGCTTTTCTTTGTTACAAGTGCTTGTTATTTTAGCTAGCAACATAATTAAAAAGTTCTTCTCCATATTCTGAATAATAAAAGCAGTACTTTTATTTTATTTTATCCCAATAAACATTTAATTTTGAATGCAATGTTTCTTATGCTTGTACAGAGATACCAATTAAAGGTTGATTTTTTAATACAAACTCTTTTGTGTTAAACAATAGCAGAGAACAGCACAGACCTTTGTACTAGTTTTTACGTCGGAAAGTGTATTTGTATTATATATGCATATATATAATTCTGTATATATATATATATATATATATATATATATATATATATATATATATATATATATATATATATATATATATATATATATATATATATATATATATATATATATATATATATATATATATATATATATATATATATATGTTTTCTATTTGCTGATGCAAAAGTTGGTTCTCAAATTTTAAACCATTAATCTGACAATTATTATGACTGACTTAACAAATAACGGTTGGATAAAGTATTGCTAGCGGTGGGATAAACGCCAAAGCCTCGCTACTTCCATCTGATATACAATAAGAAGATGCTTTTGAAACTTTGAAATGCTTAGCAATGCAGTCCAAAAAAGGGAAATGAAATATAAAATCTTGCAACAAAACATGAAAATAAAATGGTTATGATTTAAAAGAAAAACAGTTTTGTTTAGAGAATGTTTTTAAATATTATTGGAATAAAATAGTGAGGTTGCTACTAATTTTTGTCAGATAAAAACTAAAAAACATTTAACAATGACAAAACGGTAATACTTATTTGCAATTTCTTTCTCGGTTGAACTTGATTACTTGAACTTATTTCCAGGTTCCCAAGAATCAAGGTATTGAAAGCTGACTGTTTTTAAACAGTACAAATTGTGAATTTCACCCGTTTAGAAAATAAATGCGTCAACATTTTTTATAGTTCAAAAATAATAACGAAGTTTGTTTTATTTTAGAAATAATATCCAGACACTCAAAATTTGGAGTTCAGCTACCCGTAAACACTTTTTTTTCGCGAGAAAAAGAATTACTTCTTATTCACCAGCATTTATTTGAAATGGAAACACCTAGAAAAGGTGTAGTATTATACGGAATGTCAGGTGTTGGAAAATCGCAAATAACCAAAAAGTATTGTTTGCAGTTTGATAAGTTTTACGATTATATGTTGTGGATTGATGCAGCTTTTTGTAAAATAAAAAACTCGATGATTAGCCTTGCTGAGCAATTAGGGCTAAAGATAGAAGAAAGCGATGAAGAGACATTTAGTATTGACGTTGTCATAAAAAAAATTCATAACTATTTCAGAGGAGAAAAAACATTATACATTTTTGATAACGTAGACGATGAAAGTATTAAAGGTTTTGAAAAATACATTTCAAACGAGCTAAATTCATTTACATTGATAAATTCGCAATGGACAAATTGGTCTTCTAACTTTCAACAAATTCCAATTATACCTTTTTCTAAGGATGATGCTTTCTTATTTATGAAAAATCGTATTCAATCAAATGATGATGAAAACTTAAAAGAAATCGTAAAAGAACTAAGATATCATCCACTTTCTATAAACCAAGCAACTGTATATATTATCAAAAATCGTATATCTGCTGAAAAATATTTAGATCTATTTTGGTTATACCCCGTTGAAGTTCTTGAAAACAGTCTTCAAACCGAAGTTGAACATAAATCAGCCATACAGTCGATAAGTATGATTTTATATAAATTAGAAAGATTTCATGAAACATCATTAAAATTGTTAACCTGTTTATCACATTGTGATGGCAAAAAAATTGCAAACACATTTATTAAAAGAGTTTCTGAACAATTAAAAATCAATGAAGAATATCAAATAAATGATGCAATATCACTTCTTGTAAGCTATTCATTACTTGATTGGTACGACAATATAAGTGATAACCTAACAATGCATGATATAACCCAAATAACGTGTAAATATTACCAAGAGAAAAAAAAAATCACAGAAACATATAAAGGATGCATAATAAGTTGTTTTAAACAGCAGTTAAAAGATGCCAATGATTGTGTTGGTTATGGGAAAGATTTCATCCAACATTTTTTGTTTATGTTTCGTACTAGTAAGCAACAAATGTGCAAGGAGTTCTGCCAAACAACTAAAAGTATAAGACGCTTCTTATGTACCAAATGTCTTTTTCAAGATGCTATTAATATTTTAAATGACATTCAAGAATATAATAAAAGAACGTTTGGAGAACACAATCTGCTTACTCTAAGTGCAAAACACATTTACGCAAATTGTTTGAGTACGTTAGGAAATTACAATGAAGCTCTACAAATTTATTATCAGGTTTATAAATTAAAAACTGAAACTTTAATAACAAATCACCCGTCGTTACTATCAACAAAAGAAAATATAGCAATCTGTTTAACCAAATTAGGAAAGTATGATGAAGCGTTAGAAATTTATTATTACGTTGAGAAATTGAGAATTGAAACACTAGGTGTGAATCATGGATTAACACTGCAAACACAACATAATATTGGAACTTGTTTAAATGAAATAGGTAAATATGATATAGCTCTTGAAATTTTAAAGCATGTTGATGATATACAAAATAAAACTTTAGGGATCTCTCATCCACGAACATTGATTACAAAACATAGTGTGGGAATGTGTTTGCATAAAATGGGTAAATATAAAGAAGCTCTAGAAATATACAACGATGTTGAAAAAAACCAAACTAATTCGTTAGGTGAAAAACATACATCACTATTAGACACGAAACACAATATTTCGCTGTGCCTATACAAACTGGCAAACTATCAAGAGGCTTTAGAAATTTTTTACCAAGTTGAAAAAAAAAAAAAAGATATTTTACCAATAAATCATCCATCGTTGTTAGGCACAAAATATAGTATTGCGCGATGTTTACTTAGGATGGAAAAATACAGCGAAGCCCTAGAAGTATTATATTGTGTGGAGAATGCATATTCTGAATCTGAACCTTTAAAAATAAATCATCCATCTTTATTTGTTATAAAACATAATATTGCACTTTGTATGTATAAACTGAAACGGTATACCGAAGCCGTAGAAATTTATTTTTATGTTGAAAAAATACAGACAAATACATTAGGAATTGATGATTCAAGATTATTAGATACAAAATATAAAATTGCACACTGCTTGCAAATGACGGGAAAGTACGACGAAGCATTACGAAGATATTTTCAAATAAAGGAACAAAAAACTAAAAGTTTACAAACTGATTCTCAATTAAAATGGCTGATAGAACATAACATTGCGACCTGTTATAAAGAAGTTGGCAGGTTTGCAAAGCTCTAGAAATTTTTAGTTATGTTGAAGAAATACAAAATAAAGATTTAGGATGCAATCATGCCTCAATATTAACTACGAAACATAATATTGCATTTTGTCTGCACAATATGAAAAAGTACAATGAAGCGCTAGAAATATATTATAATGTTGAGAAAATGAAAACTGATGTTTTCGAAAGAAACAATCCTTCACTATTAGAAACAAAATATAATATTGCATACTGCTTACAAAAAATAGGAAGAGTCAATAATGCGCTAGAAATTTACTATTATATTGAGAAAACTCAAATTGGTATGTTGGGAGTTAATAATCAATTTTTGTTAAATGCAAAAAAAAATATCGCATTATGCTTGAAAAAACTAGGGAAGCTTGACGAAGCTTTAGAAGAATATTATAATGTGGAGAAAATACAAAAAGAAATTTTTCAAACCAATCATCCGTCTTTAATAGATACTAATTATAATATTGCACAGTGTTTGTATAAAATGAAAGAATACAACAAAGCTATTGAAATTTTTCTCGAAGTACAGAGATTAAAATAAGTAACTTTAGGGCCAAACCATCCATCAATATTAATTACAGCAAGAAAGATTGCTCTTTGTCAAAGCAAAGCAAAAAAGCAAAAACAATGTTGGCTGCTATAGAACTCTAAAAAAAAAAAATAATAAAACAAAACGTTGTTTTTTTCTTTTTTAAACTTATTCTTAAACAATAATTCACCAAGAATTATTGTTTAAGATATTTATTTGTAATCTTTTTAATTTACAGAATTATCACATTCAGAGTTATCATATTACAAGTTCTATAATTCTTGAAAAAATTGTAAGCTGAGAAAATAAACAAAGCGTGAAATGTTTTAAAAAAGTGCAACATTACATTAAGAAAAAAAATTAATAAACATCATTTTAAAAATGTTTATAATTTATTCTTAAACTTTTTTTTCTTATTTTATTTTTTTGTTCCTTATTTTATGGAAACCAAAAAAATTTTCCACTTTATTATGTGCATTATTCCACTTTGTTATATACATTTGAACTTTATTAAGTGCATTATTCCACTTTACTATGTGCATTTGAACACATAGCAGGGTAGTGCGGGGCTAGTTGAGCATACGCGTAAGTTGGGCAGTTAAAATATCTAAAAACTACGCACCCCATGACAAAACCTCTAATGGATGAAATTTAAGGAATATAGTTTTATCAGAGTTAAAATTCACCAGCTGTTGAGAGCCTCATGTTGCAACAGAAAAGAGATTATTTTCAAGCTCATATGGCCTCTCCAAGCAATCAGAGAGTGTTGACTTCTTATCAAGCCAAAAATAAATGATAGTATCATCAGCAAACAATGCTACCTTAGTTGTGAGAATTTCGTTAATGTAAATTTAAGAAATTATTCGTTATTATTAAATTATTGTAAATTAAAAAAGTATTGGATCATTGATAAAACCTTGAGTAACCCCTAAAACTACAGAAAATGAAGTAGAGTACTGTCCATTGAAGACATTTTTTATACTACAATAACCTTAAAGATGTTACCTTATACATTGCATGAAGAGAGCTTATGGATTAAAGGCTTTAGAAATGTCAGAGTAATAGCTTTAGGCTCTCCACATCTATCTAATGCACAATAAAACCTATCGATTATTACAGTTAACAAATCAGCTGTAGAATGAAAAAAATCAAAATTCATTTTGATGATCAAAAAGTTATTACGTTTAAGATGAGAGAACAAGTGTTTGTTAAAGAAAGAGTTTAAAACCTTGCTTATTATAGGAAGAAGACTAACAAGATAGTAGTAAACGATTGCTCTATAAAATTTTTTTAAAAATAGGTATAACAGATAGCGCTTTCCAGCAGGCTAGAAAGCAAGACTCTGGTAACCACTTGTTAAATAATTTGAAAGCGTAGACAAAAGATTCGAAGAAAACATCTACAAGACTATAACAGGTATGTTCTCCGAACCTCGAGTGTTAGAAGAGTCTAAGTAAAAAATCACGTTAGATGAAGAAACTGGATTGATACAAATATAACCAATGGATCAACCTGTTTGTCGGATTTCAGGTAGAATGTGATTGGAATCAAGAGATAAAATTGATGAAAAATTCTTAGCAAATAATTTGGCTTTGTCTTGAGGTGAGGTAACAAAATCAGCATCATGCAAGAGAATTGGATTTAAGTAGGCTTTCGCAAAATACACTAATAGCAAAAAATATTGATTCAATAAGGGTACAATAATGGGAACTTGGACAATGTTGGACAAGGTATACAATATTGCACCAATAATGGTAAACAATATCGCGCCAATAATGGCATACCAATATTGGTATGCCATTATTGGCATACCAATATTGGTATGCCATTATTGGTATGCCAATAATGGCATACCAATGCATACCAAAATTGTCAATCAATATTAGATATATATAAAAACGTGAACATTATATATTGGTGCAATATTGCATTAATATATAATGTTCACGTTTTGATATTATTGGCTAAATATTGTTAACAATATATATTGTTAACAATATTTAGCCAATATTGAAATAAATATTGTTCCAATATTGCACAAATGATTGATACTACAGCATTTTAATTATTAGTTTGCTTTAATTTTTGCGTTTTTTTAACTTACCAAAAATTATGTTACAGCTCTGTGATATGAATGTCGGTGTTAAACTTTTAATTGAATAAAAAAACAATAAATACCAGTAAAATCTTGACCACATTTAATTATTAAGGACATTGTTCTGTAGCTACATCAAGCCCATTTGACCTAAAACAGGGATTTGTTAAAATCCAAAATGATAGCTTGCATCGGCAAGAACATATCACTTTCATTTTACTTGTTAATCTATATTTATATGAACCCTTAAATCTCCATTCATAAACTTTTTTTTATTTTCACAAAATTTAAGTTATAACCGAAAATTTCGTTGGAGAAGCTTACCAGGTCTAAAACTTAATTTCAAACAATTCGAACAACAAATTTTAAAGCTGAGAAACTGCATAGTTTGACAGCTTTGTAAAGAAACTTTCATTCAATAACGATGGTGAGGAATTTGAAACACATTAAAACACCGGTAAATCGAACCTGAAAGGATCGAATCAAACCGCACTCCTTGTACGGTTTGATATAACAAATGCTTACCTTAAGCGAAGTAAAATAGTTGTTCTTGTTTACAAGGGACTTAAAGGTAATACGACTTGAAAACAAGAACACAGTAGCTTTTGTTTATTAACTGATTCCCATTAAATTTTACTTTTTTTTGGTATATGATTATCAATGATGAAATTTGATGATGCTTAAATATGTCAAACAATTAGCTGTCGCCCATTATGACCTAAGAAAATTCACTAAAAGCTTTCTAAGGTGGAAAAAGTATATAACAGCCTTATACTTTTCTCTATTTCACGAAGGGGCTTGATAATAAGGCATTTTATCTTCTCCTTGCTTCCGTCAGATTGAAATTATATATATTTATTAGGTCTTAATAACATAGCAATATTTATTAGGTCTTAAGAATAACATAGCAATATGTGTGCATATTGACGAAATAATAATAGTAACAACCCAACTTGCATAGTTTTTGTAGAAAATATGAAGCGCAGCACACGAACAAAAAGGTTTTGTCCCAACTCACCCTACTCTCTCCTATAGTTATAAATTATGAGCGTTATGACCTCTTCAAAAACTGTATTGGTATTTAGAAAATTTTCTTTCAAAAAAAAGCTAGTAATATCCAAATATAAACACTTTTTGTACACTTTCTATAGATTTGGTAGTATACAAATAGGTTTTTTATTATTTTGTTGTTTTTTTTATGAATAGTTTAAATGGTCAGAGTAAACGTTTAAAATAGCAAAAATTTTTTTTGTCATAGCAAACAAATTAGGCAAAAAGATTTTATATTAATGTTTTATTTAACAACTTCAACCGGCATGTCAGATTGTTTTATTTGATAACAAGTTATGAAATAAAATAATCTGACATGTCGGTTTGAGCCGAACCGGCATGTCAGATTTAGAAGTTTTTAAAGTGCAAATACATTTTATTACTTTAACTATACTTGTTTATTAAAATGATAAAGGTGGAGAATTTGAAAACATTTTTTTATTTTTTTAAATATATTTGTATGCATTGAATTTTGAGATATGGAGCTTTACTGTGTTAAATGGACAGAAAATCAAATTTAATACCATTGTCACTTGAACATATACAAACTTTCGGCTGGATAGCTCAGTTGGTTAGAGCATCAAACGAAAAGTTAAACTGTTGAACAAAACGAGTTCAAATCCTGCCACCGCCAACTCAGCGCTTGAGTAGGATTTCGGTATGCAAAAATGTTGGTCAATAACAGACACTACTTTGGATTAGTCTTAATGACTATTTGTGACTGTTCCGATGCTAAGCCAATAATATCTTTTGATATAAAAACATTATATAGAAAAATAAAGCATAAAAATTCAAATAAATAAAAAAATTAAAAATTAAAAATATACTAAATTAATATGCTACTTGCTTACCATCGAATAAAGTTCGTTGTCTATAACAAAAATGATTTTTTCATTCAGTGAGGATTATTCCTTAGAACATTTTAGTAAAATATTTTAATATTATTGATCTATTTTTATTTTTTTGAAACATATTAATAAAATAAATATTGTTTTTTCTTAATTGAATCGCTCACATGATAATTGGTAAAAAAATGCTTCCTTTGACTATGTTCATGAAAAAATACCGTCTGACAAAAATATTATTACAGGCTGACAAAAATATGAAAGTACAGAAAGTATTCATAAGCCATAGAATATAGTTTGCAAAGTTTGTTCAAATAGCGCAGAATCCAAGAGTGGTCACTAAAAATAACTGTGGTTTTCTTAATTGAAGTAGTTTTCTTAATTGAAAATCTTTACCTTGTAGTCATGGTAAAGATTTTCAATTAAGAAAATATTTTTTAAATATTTATGTTTTAAAAATATAATTTTACCATAGTTCAATTTATGATTATCATATTTTTTGTACATTTCTTGGGGAAATTTGTGTACATTTCTTGGGGTACAACACCAACCTTAACAACAACCACCTTAAGAAAGATTGTATCACGTGAAGAAGAAGTTATTAAACGATTAAAAAAAAGTGAATCGCGCAAAGAGGCGGATATAAAAGAATTAAGAAGTTGTTGGAAATTGATAATAAAAATGCCAAAAACCTGCTGCGTTTAAAATTATTCAAACAACAACATAAAAGACAATAATTTAAAGTTCAATACATTTATATTTGATTTATATACAACTTTTTCGCATAAATTAACTGCCAAACTGTTTATAAGGAAGTATAGATAACTTTTATACGAAATTTATGTTTATTTTTTATTATTGCTAAATTTTGAAATGCTTGTAAATGAACATTTTACTAAAAAAAGTTACTAAATTAACAATAATTTACCCTTTTTAAAACTCAATTGGGTACTAAAAAAATAAAAAAAACAGCGTAAAAAATATTTACACTATTAATTAAACTAAATTAAGGAAAAAAATGGTAGGGGAGAGCGGGGTTGGTTGTCACACTTTTTACATTTTAGGCTGCTCAGCTTTTAATTTTCATCCAATCAATGCCAAACTTTGCACAAAGCTAATTTAACTATTTCCAGTAACTATTATAATATTTTTATGACATTGAGTGAAATATTTATTGCTGTAAAATCATTTTTCAAAGACCACTTCTGTGTGACAACTAGCCCCGCTCACGGGGTAGGTTGTCACATGGTGCGGGGTTGATTGTCACATTTGG